GGAAACTGCACTATCCACAGTGAGTATCCCAGCCATTACTGTGAGGTTTGACTGCACTTAGAACTTTAATTAAGTAGCACAATATAAAGCCTGTTTGTGGTCTTACCTCCGCTGCTTCGCATTGGCCTAGAAAAAGAAATAAAACAGTTCCACAGAAAACAAGATTATGCCATTTCAGCAATGAGGTAGGTAACATTTAAAACCACAGGAGAAAACACATTCTGCCTTTCCACTTGCAAAAATATGATCAATATTATCCATGGAGTCTGTATTCTTCTGCAGTCTAAGCAGCAACAAAATACAGGTCACAATAGAAGAAATATTCTTCCTGCTGCAGAAAAATTATACTGCAGCTAAAATGACAGCAAGCAACCTCTCAGAGACCGTATTTCCTCACAAACACATGGAAGAGGCAGGCGAGGGCAGAACACAACTTACTAGTAGCTTTCTTTTTTTTTTTTTCTTATGCATCAAGTAGATTTTAATTACTGGGATATGTTTAAAAGTGAGAAAAAAATACAGAGAGCAAAATTTCGTGTCACAACTAAATTTGAATACAGCTAGGCACTGGTGCAGTTGTAGTCTACCAAAGTCACAGGAAGGGTATGTATGTATACATGACAGAAAGTGGTCTGTTTAGCAAGGCTCTTAATTCTTTCATTTAAACAGAATACTTTTCCAGTTAAAGATTACTGAATATTTTATTTCAAAATCCTTAGGTTAATAGTGTTATTTTTTTAATGAGGCAACATAAAGCAAACTTATATCATTAAAAATATATGTTGGTGTGCTGCTGCATGAAGGGTGGTTGGAACAAAAGAAATAAGGAGCAATCAGTTCACAGGAGGAGAAAGATCATTGCAGATTTATACCAATCAAGCTTGGTTTTCATGCAGTATTTTCAACCAAGGATGAACTTGAGTGGTGGCAATCGAAAAAAATTCCCTACCTTTTTGCCTTATAAAAGATCAGCCTGAACTGTCTCTTTTTGTTTTAGACCAGTGGATTAATGTTTGGATGAAAGCCACAGTTCTTGTTAAATTAAAAACGGACTGAAACAGAATGCTTTCAAAATCAGTTTAATTTTATTTCAGATTATCCCCAGCCAATTAAATCCTCCTATCGTCAAAACGTAGAGAATAAAAACAAACTCCTCACATTTGGATGTCCTATTTATCCAAAACAAAGTTTTTTATTTTTTAACTACGTATATAGGTGCCATGATTGTTTATTCAGTTTGGCGATGATAAAAGCCCCTAAAGGACTAGCTGGTCACATTTCTACCTGCTCTGTACATTACTCACTGAAAACTGATGTGCTTTTTTCTTGGTGACATTCTCATATGCGTTGCAGTTACTCTTTCTACCTTTTTCAAGACTTGGTCAAAGGAGCATTTGTAAAGTTTGACCCTTTAAAAAAAATCAAACAGTTTTACTATACAGCGCAACATATGCAGCTTCCAGATCTAGTTTGTTTAAAAACTTGCAATTTGGGGTCTTAAGTAGTCATCTACAGGGAGGCATCATTCACTAACACATTATAGAATCCAACAAAAAGACCTTGATCCCCGCTTTCCATTTTCCTAATATTGTAATTGTGTCCTAACCTGGTATTTCAAATCTGAAGCAATTTTCAATTTTACTGGTAGCATCTGTGTAAGAAACCATTTAGATTTTATTTCCTGTCCCCTGGAATTGGTCATCTCACTGTGTAATTACTTTGCATCATGTTATACACCCTGGGTATGTTGTAACGCTGTTTGCGTAACCAAAGTGTAGAGCATTTGCAAAACCTAGTACTGAGGCAGATTAGCAATTACAGTTATAATGAAAGTAAAATGGATGTTCAGTGTCTGTGCAAAAGGACGTTACAGGCAAGTGTAATAACATAGAAACTAACAAAAATAACAAAAATATGAATTAATCTTTCAAACCCTTACACTGAAATCAACATAGACATTTTAAAATATTTTTTAAAGTTTTTGCCTAATGCTAATCTTGCTGTTTTGCAACGTGTAATAACTGACCTTTTTTTATATGTAAATAAAGCCTAAACACATGTTTTAAGTATACACTTCACTTTCTTTCAACACCAAAATACTACATCTCAAATGCTGACTGTGGTATCCAAAACATAATGTATACTATGTAGAAATCTGTACGCATTTTTAAAGTGCACATTAAAATGGCATTCTTATGATCTGTCCTCTGAGTCATATAATGGAAACCCAATGCATACATCCATGGATAAGAGTGCTTCACCTTGAAACAGGAAAAATTACTTAATTACTGACCTTCTAGAATTTTAAGAGAACCCTCAGAATAAATGTGTAAAGGGTCTTACCACCTAATGTCTCTAGATATGCTGTAATCTATATTTTCTTTTTTCATGCTTCAGAAATAGGATATTGAAACAACAGTGTGCATCTTCCCAAGCAGTTCCCTCCAATGGCATTTCTACACTTCTGGCTAGGCAGTTCAGCTATCTTCCTGAGATATCCATGCCTCTCTTATGTAGTTAAAAATAAGTATTAGGTCTTTGGTAACTGGGTCCTCTGTTTTTCAGGAGACACACAAGGTTTACCTGTAGTAAGCTACACATGGTGTTAAATCTATTGATTATTTGGGGTGGAGGGGGTTCTGAATTATTTACGAGAATATACTGTGAACACTTTTGGGTAGCATGCCCCCCAATTTTATTTTTGGTATTTCAAAAGCAATGCATCTTTAAATTTAAGTTATCAATTTCTTCTCCCCCTTCTCTGTTCAAGACAGGTACTTTACCTAGCATACGACGCTCTTAAAATTTTCAAGTAAATGAAAAAAATAAGGTGTTATAATACTACTTAGAAGAGGAAATCAGTATAGATATTTTAAAGTATTTTTTGCTCAGTATCAACTGATCCATGAAAAATTATTTTAATGTGTGTAGTGGCTGGAGTCCTTTTTAATGGCCATGCATATACCACTATTGAGAACAAGATGGAATAGAATAAAAAACAGAAAACAATGGAGTTTATATGCATATAGATATGTTCGTCAAAAAATATTTTAGACAGGGGAGCTCTGTAGTAGAAAAAATCCTCTTAAATTATTTGGTTTTGCCACCACCTGCAACATGCTGCTTGAGATACAAATGGAATTTTTCACATGGTAAAAATAGCTTTTTATGTGCACTGTTGTTGGAAAATAAAGACAACCGTCATTTGTGCATCTCAAAGTAGATGTGGAATTTCAGTAGAAAAAAAGAAAAAAAAAAAATCAGGGAGTATTTTAAGTTTTTGTCTGATTGATCCAAAAACTTCTGTCTACTCAGTTTTGACATCTGGGAGCTGGGTGTGGAACAGCAACTTTGTCTATTTAGTTTGGTTTTCATCTTAAATTGAAGGCAAAAATGATATACATTTAACCAGCAGCTTATGGTTGATCTACATGAATAAAATCACTTGTACATAAAGATGGTAAATCACCACTCCTCCTTCTCCAAAGAAAACAAGCCTCCCATAGCATTGGGATCAGAACTGAAATTGCATTTTGGCCAAAGACTACAGAAAGCTCTCTTGGCATTTTCCTGTTGTATTTAAATAGTTACTGCTACATACTAGGCAGATTGGAGCATCTGACAAAGTTTAGATAATTATGGAATATATAGAACCCACATAACTTAGCTTGTGCCGTGCCTTCTCGGAACAATGTGTGATGGCACTGGAAGGTGGGTCTCTTTTGAAGCTGATAGTGAGGGAGACTGTAAATCCAAAAAAATATCACTTTTAACCTGTGAAAGGAAGTTGAAAAAGACAAAACCACACAAACTTGGATAGGACTTTTATTTATAATCTATGTGCACACATGGCTGTAGATGATGATGCTACCAATGACATAAATAAACTCAAGCGAAAGATGTAAGCAAGTGAATATATGTAAAGGCTTCTTTGGGCAGTGCCGCAAATTTGGACATCGACCAAGAGGATTATTTATGTCCCTTGCAATTTCGATGAAAAGCACAAAGGGGATAATTAAACCAGGACGCTTCGCTTCGCTCTTTCCATCTTGCGCACATGCATGCCCACCAAATGTGAAATGTTCGCCTTTTCCCCTCAAATGTGATGGTTGTTGAACTTATTTTTAGTGTCATTTGATAAGCCTCCCTGCTCACAGAGAGACATCCCACTGACCCAGCCACTGGTCATTGTCTATACCAGTTCACATCAAAGCAGGCGCGCTTTGTCAGGTTTCGACTCGAATATCCATTTTGCATCTGAAGTACAGTATCGAAAGTGACTGGATCATTTGAGCCTTTTTCTTCAGCTGCTGCCTCCTTCCTCCCCCACAGTGTTTCTGCTCACGCTAACATAATTTGGCATCGTCGACGTGACACGACGCTGGTTTTTCTAAAAAATTATAATACATACTTTGTCAGTGTTTTCTGATGGCCAGCGCTCCTGTAAATTTAATTTATAAATTGATGAAAGGAGGTCTTTTTTCCACTGCTGAATCTTCACCAATGCACCATGCCCCCTCGAAAACCGAGTAATGCGCATATAGTAATAGGTCATTCAATGTCAAAAGGCATAAAAAAGATGAGCAAAATCTTCACAGGCTGCTGCTTGCTGTTGCCTTTAATTATATTAATTAAACTTTGAAATTCTCATGCAAAGAGAGTTGCTGGCTTGTGACGCTGAAGAGCCCTTGGAGATTCGGGGGGTGGGAGGGGGTGGGGGGGGGGGGGGACCCTGAGATACCAGCTTTGTG